ATATATATATATATACAGTCACGAAACTAATTGTCTGGACAACCGCCATTTGCCAAATTTCAGCACGTAACAAAAAGAAAAGATTGAAATTTGCAAAGAAATACGTAAACTATCCTCAATCATTTTGGAATCATGTTCTCTGGACAGAGTCAAAGATTAAACTGTTCGAATCTGATGGCAATCTTATGCTGGCAATATATGAAAAAGATAACATCATATGATGAATGAAATACACCAATCTATACAATTTCCAGTAATGACGTGTATACTTGTCCCTATCCTTGGGATCTTTTCCCTATAAAAAAATGTCACTTTTCCCTACAAAAATGAACAACGGAGGAAGAAATGAAACGACGTATTCGTATCGAAGCAATATATAAGCAAGAAATCTGATGTATCCTAATTGGCATTTATAGTACCTGAGGGTACGATGTATCAGCTGATATACGTTATCCACATAATGAGTTACAAGATACCAAGGAGACTTCATTATAGACTAAGGAGATGGTCCTAAACCGTATGTCATAAGATTAGTATACCTCTATATTTTATATGGTTTCTCAATATAATAAATTAAGTTTGTATTATAAACCATTGAAGACCGTTATAAAATAATGTCACTGTATTTATTAATAATCCATCAAATCACAGCATGTAACTTTGATGTAGACGTAAAATTACATAAGTGTCAGGAATGTTACATGTAATATTATTTATACAGAAAGATATATAATGTACTGGCACGTCTATGTTAGTAATTTTGAACTATCATTTCCATATTAGTAACATATCAATAACATAATAAAAATAATAAAAATAAAATAATAAAAATTAATCGGACTCTCGAAATTGGAACAAATAAATATTTAATAAGAGCGAGTGAGAATATAAAATTCTACACAATAATTCTAAAAATTAGATTATAAAATATAAGATTTAATATATTATATAATTCTGGACTCTCGAAATTTAAAACGGAATGCTCAACAAAAAAGCTAACGATAATAGTAGCACGTTAGAGTGCAAATAAAATGTATTTCAATCTAATCCTCGTATTTTTTGGTGGTTGCAATTTGAGTTATCTTCAGCAATACTTCGATAAAACGAACTCTTCTAAACAATTTTATAGCAATATACTTCTAGCGATATAATTCTTAAACAATAAAACCAGAAATCTCATACTTATGCAAGGTCATCATCTCCTTCTCCCTTAAAACCATAAAACTTTTGTCTGAAATATTTTTTGCAAAAATTTCTCCTTTTCGAAATATTTGCGTATATTGATTAAAATGAATGTCAACCCTTCGTATAATATAAGTTTATATGTAAATATTTAAACGTACGTAAATAAATTATTTATATATTTAATTTTTGCGTTGTAAAAAATTATAATGCAGATATTATTTTAGTAATTATAATATATAAATTATATATATATTTATATATCATATGTTACTATATGTATATATATAATAATGTTATTATATTTTTTTTTATTATTATATTATATTTTTATGTTTATTTATTTATTTAAGATATTGTTATTCAAAATAATCTTAAAATATATCAGAGCAACTCCATCGAATAATCAACAATCATAATGCAGAGATATCTAAAGACAGAATGCGTTCTGAATATGTCTCGGTATATTAAGGAATTTGTGACTTCGTGTGTATTGGTGTGTATATACGTACATTCAGCAAAACAATTAAGGCAATTATTGTTTTGCAGTATTTGACACATGAAGCAAATTCGTCGAAACACAAGCTAATAACCAAACACATTAGACTGCTGCTTGCATCAGCAATTGCAGTATATACCATTATTATGTTTGCTGGATACTGCAAATAATTCTCCTCACACATTTACAAATTTCTATAAAGAAAACATTTTTACAAACTTTAGAAAATAATTGCTCGAATTCACGTAATGGAAATTGAAGATATTGATGACTTACGAGATTTTGTGACGATTTACAAGAAAGATTATCTTGGAAAGACAAGTAAAAGAACGACAAAGCGCAAATTATTAGCAAAATATTTGCCATCCTTGAACATCTTGAATAGACCGTACAAACAATATTTGCACACACGACTGGAAAATCGGTTACTATCTGAGAACGAACGAAGCGAAGATCCAGTCGACAATTTAAACAGAGTAAAAATGCAAATATTTTTATAGTCGTGATTGTATGCTATCATAATTGTACATCATTGAAAATAGATACGAGACAAATTTCCCCACTTAAGAAATGCTTTACCGGAAATCGTGCCAAATGAGATCGTGATAAAAAACAACAAGGAGAAATCAATGAAGACTATATATCAACAGGATTATTCAAAGGAATTTCGTAAAGGTATATTGCAAATAATCATTATATCTGTATACGTGTAAACGTATATGACACACGCACACATGCATATTACAAACAGATAAAAGGATCATTAAGTCGGAAACGGTGGCAGATAAGATGCCACAAATATGCTGCAAAATATCACAACTATTTTGTTTTCTCTTGATAAAACCTACAAATAGTTTGGAAGCGTTTGATTGATTAGTTGGAAAAAAGAATTTTACTGACCAAAAATATTTCGAAGCGTTTGTAACATCGAGTAGACCATAGGCCCGTATCTTATTGGAAAAACAAACTCAACATCTACATCCGTGCATAAATCCTTTTGTCAAAGTGTGTGTGTATGTGTGCGCGCGCGGCCGCACGCGTATGATACAGTTGATCATAAATCTTATGAACATGAATACGCCTTGTGACTGTAATCAGGGGATCGATTGAAATGAGATAAAAATTACAAAAGTGAGCAAATTCACTAATTAGTACTTATAAGTGTTGACCAATTAAATTATGGACGGTATTCGTAGGCCATTCTTATCAATCTGTTCAAGACTGTCTTAAGTAATATCTTAAGACACTAATACGGCCCTCTGGCTAATATTCATAGTCGAATCTTATATTTAAGATCGTCTTAAGTCTTAAGATGTCATGAATCAATCAGAGGGCCGCATTAGCGACTTAAAACATTATTTAAGACGGTCTTAAAATAAGAATAAACTATGAATACTGGCCCTGATTGGTTCGTGACTTCTTAAGATTGTACTTAAGACGGTCTTGAATATAAGATTCGATTATGAATATCAGCCTATAAATATTCTAGTAATTTGTTCACTTTTATTAACAAATATGGATGGGGTCCCAGGGACCCGAGGGTACATATCAAGGGTAGAAAAAAGTGTGTATAGCTAGGGTTAATATTTGTATCTTTGGAAAAAAGCGGACATTACATGAGCAATACTGTTTAGTTTTACTTATTTATTATTTATCATATCAATACAAATGAATATTTCATCACAATCAGATCATCGTCGCAGGGAAATAACATTGCCGCAAAACTGGATTATACCCGAAACAATTCAAAAACGTGCATATCGAAATCCATGGATAATCGCAACGAAAGAATTAATAAAACCATCAAAAATTTTTAAATCCCGAAATAATTTGGATCCTAATCCGAAAGAAAGAGAAATTCTTCGAGTGACGTATGTAAATTACGCAATATCTATATTAATTCGAGATACAATTTTAAAATAGTTTCCCCTGTTTCCTTTCCCGGCAGAACCGGAAATTCCGAATATACGGGCACAATCGGGATTGCAGGAGAAAACATCATGTTACGAAGCCGGCCATCAAATACGAGAAATCACGCATCTGGGTTGTAAAATTCAAACATGAAATCTTGAATATCTGAATTGGAATGTTCACTGATACTGAAACAAAATTTAACTCTTTTTGAAAAAATATTCTGAATCATTTTTAAATTACGATTTTACAAGTGAGCTCAGGATTTACATGGCAAGGGAGGTTACATGTAAAATAATGAAAGTACAAATAAAACAAAATCACATATGCAAATTGTTGGAAAACAGAATTCATATTATATATTCATAATTACATTTTCAATTTCAATTTCATGTGATTTTGGGATAAATCAATTACTTCGTACATCATTTATATAACTATATACATATACATATATATATAATCTATATATATATATATATGTGTATATGTACACGCACGTATGCACGCACGCACGCAGGCACATTCATATCAATACACAAGAATGCTAGATCGTAATATTACTTGTATAATTCACAAAACTCGTTTCTCTCTCTCACATAGTTATTTACATATTCAAATCTAATATCATTTTACAAAATATTTTCCAACAAATATGAATACTTGATATTTCATATGTAACAGATTCGCTGAACACTTTCACATGTGTAACTTATATTCCACAATTATATCAAAATTGTTTCAGCAAACTAATTAGCAAGCAATTAATCATCAAATTACTCAAACAATCAATTAATGATCAATTAATGTTCACTTACCATAATTTAATTTGAGATTAATTTAAAGCTCAAAATTTTAAGATAAATAAAATTATACAAGTAACAAACATTACAGATACTTAAATGTCTTAAATTTTAGTACTATAATTAATATGGAAAATCGAGTTAAATGATTATGCTTGCGATAAAAAATTGTATGTAAAGAACATAGTATAGAAAAGGCCCGTTTTTTGCCCACTAATGGAAAAGTGTAAAACATAGTGAATCTTAGATTTTGACCTACTAAACACGATGGTGCTATTAGTTTTCATTGAAAATGCGGGGAACATCATCATTTTTCGGATGCCATTTGGCCATTTTTTTTGCTGTCACCAACTGCTTTCTATAAACCGCTCTCAGCCGGGCCCAGGAACAACGAGCGTGGAGACGTGGCGGTTTTCTGTTCCCTCTTTTATGTGTTTTATGTATTTTTTGTTTTTTTTATGATTTGTATTTTTTTATATGTTTCAGTATTTTTTCTAGGGCTCAGACGAAAGATTCAAACATGTCGAATATTCGATCTATTCGAATAGTTCAAAGGGGAAAAAAACGAGCATCTAATTCGAACAGTTCGAACAGTTCGAGCTTAAGCAGTGATCAGTATGAAATGTCAATTCGTTATTCTAAAATTCGGACGGTTCGGACAGTAAACAAATATATTTAGTATGTCTTGGAAACAAAAGAGCTGTTTTTCACGAGACTTGAATATACAAATATTATAAAAATGTCAAAAAAAACCGATTAAATGGACACATAAAAAATACTAAAACATAAAAAAATACAAATCACAAAAAAAATATAGAACACAAAAAAGAGGGGACAGAAAACCGCTACGTCCACGCTCGTTGTCCCTGGACCCGGCTGGCAACGGTTTATAGAAAACAGTTGGCGACAGCAAAAAAAAATGGCCAAATGGCATCCGCCATTTTGGATCCTTTATTTCGAATTTATCTTATTTATTAGATTTCCGTTTAACAATATTAGGAACCTCCGCATACTAAGTTTCACATAAAATAATCCACTCGTATTGAAAATCATGTATTACAGAGAGGGTAAAATATAGGACTTTAACTCGAAAAATGACGATGTTCCCCGCATTTTCAATAAAAACTAATAGCACCATCGTGTTCAGCAGGTCAAAATCTGTAAGATTTAATATTTTACACTTTTCCGTTAGTAGGTAAAAAACGGCCTTTTCTGTACTATGTTTTTTTATAGCACGGAACTTATCTTTTTTATATCCTTTAGTCATAGCACAAATTAGATATATATATTTGTATGTAAGATATACATATGTTTTATAACTCGCGGATTATCTCTCATGAGTATGTAGCAGGAATTAAATTGAAAAATTCTGTAAATTGTTATTTTGCAATTTTTACAATGAAAAATTAATATCAGCAAATCATCATATATGATTCCGCGACAATAGATAGCTCAGCATTTCTAATTTCTAGGAACACGAAAATAGAATGCTCTATAAACAGATTATTTTTTTACAAAGCCCTCTTTTGTTGATTTACGGATTTTCAATAAATTTCTTATCTATAGCAAAAATCGCAATATTCGAATTTTTCGATTCAATTCGTTCTACCTGTTTACAAGAGATGATTCACGAATTATGAGACACTTTGTATATATATGCATGCGCGCACGTATGCAGGCATGTAAAAAAGAAATGCCTTAATCAAATCTAAAAAAATACCCAGCACATAATATATACAATTTATGATTTCAGTCCCTCACTTCACAATATCGATAACTATATTAAGACTTCATGAAATTTGATGAAGTTATTAACTTTAAAATAATGCATTCTCATTCTAATAGAATTACATTACCAACTTATAGTTTATTGTGCCTACAAATTAACTTCCTATACATAAAATTCATTCATATTACAAACAAAAACTCATATCTATTTCGATACAATAAAATTATTATAAAAATGAAAATACTGCCTAATTATGTATGTACGTATATATAGAATTAAAAATTATGTGTGCGTGTGTGTATGCGTATACATATATATACATATGTATACATACTCAAAGTGCTCCAGAACGTTAGAAAACAAATTTTTTTGCTAATTTAGAAATTAATTAATTTTCTTTAACAAAATTGAATGTCAAAATTATTTATTTTCACTTTCTTTAACGCTATATATTTTTGTAATATGTTATATATTAGAGATCATTAAATATTCGATTGTTTTTCGTATTCTGCAACTGATTTCAAATAAATCTCCTTAATTTTTAATTATTGAAATATAATAAAAAATGTAGGCATTTTTTAATGAAATTGTAATATAATATTGATATTTAATGTGATAAGAATATTCTTGTTTTCTATTTTTATTTTTATAAATACGAATAGAATTTATTAGAATAAATTGTTTTCGATCATTAATTATTAAAAAATATTTAAATCCGTTGCGAAATTTAAAGTAAAAAGTTATCTGGAATACTTTATGTACAGTTTCATATCGAAAAATTACATTCTTTGTATGAATTACACTTATATTATACATCGCACCAAGAATATTTACACATACAAAAAATGTAGATGTTCAATATAATCACTGACACATGATTCTTGTTCCTTTTTTCAATCCAACTATTATCCAAATATTATCTACATCAAGCGATTGTTTGTAGTAATAATGTCGTCATCAGAGATCATATCTTGCAGAGGAATATTTGGCTTCTGCAACAAACAATTAGAAACGACAAATGTAATTCGCATTCTGCGAAATCACAAGCGACTCTGAGAGAATAGAAACTATTATCTTACTTCAAGTACAATCGTGGATACCATATTGTCTGTGTCGTGATATTGTACACCTACATTTGCAGCTGCTATTGCTACAGTATGAACGTTATCGGTGCTGGTTGAGGTTGTGATGTGCTGGGTAATCGTGGAGCGATTTGCATTTTGTCTACTGGAACCATTATACTCTTATATGCGTAAAATTACCAAGATGAGACACTGTTTCTTATTCTTTTACAAGAAAAACGCGTATTAAAAAATATATATGTATGTACAAAGTAATCACTTACTTTCGTTTCTTCACTTGACCTGAATGGAAACGGCCACCTTCACCACGAATTCTATTCATCGCATGTCGATGACGAGATTCGTGGAGATATTTCTGAAATTAATTTTTTCGTTATTTTTATCTCTTTCAAATATATATGTTACAAATAAATATGACGGCATGTAACATAAAAAATAAATGCATTTATATTAATTTGCAACATATAAATATAATTTTATATTTCATACAAATTAGTATTCAAAATAAACTAAAATGTATTCAAATAAATATGAAAATCTCAGTTTTAAATATATATTTAAAAAAGTTCATTTTTTGAAGTCCAAAAATTGAAGGATACTTACTGGCCTTTCCTTGGGTATCTTCCCTTCAGCTTCCAATTTAGCACGAGCTTGACGACGTTTCAATATCCGTCTGTACTGTTTTGCATTGACATACAGTGGTTCTTCTTCGAGAAGTTCAGCATTAGGTAATGCCACTCTTTGGAACTGTGTTTGTCCGCTATTACCTGGTACCATCTAATTACAAAATATAACATGGTGAATTAATGATTATAGCGATGATATTAATTGTTCCTAATTCTCGGAAAGTTCATATGTCAATAGAAATCTAATACAAGGTTCTCACAAATTCTTCATCTTAAAATTCTATCTCTGATTTTCAGATTTTCAAATTTTCATGATTTTTCCTGACTTTCAATAATATTTTGAAATGTTTTGTGTTTTCGTCCTAATTTGGAAACCGTTAAATATTTTGTTGAGAAATTAATTTAACGTAACAATATAAATTATTACTAATATCGTTGACACTGCTCGCAATTTTAATTGTTAAGTTAGTAGTATTTCAAAACTGCGTAGGTATAACATACGTTATACAGGGTGTCTGGAAATTACCGCCAAATGTTTCGTGCGTGGGTAGAACAAACTATACTGAGTCGAAAAGTCCTGTACCATTTTGCGGTGTCAGCAATAGTTAACGAGATATTAATTACTAAAAATTGCAAAATAATAGTCTTGAACAATTTTTTACTCAAATACTATCAACTTTACAGAAAAAGTGCAAGAAACAAAAATCATTAATTTTCTTCTCATATAGTTCCGAAAATTTTTTCAGAATTTTTTATTAACTTTTTAGTACTGCATTTTTTATTAACTTTTTAGTACTGCATTTTCTTATTTTTACCAACATGAGAAAATACGGTATTAAAAAATTCTAAAAAAATTCTCAGAACTTTATGAGAAGAAAATAAATGATTTTTGTCTCTCGCAGTTTTTCTGTAAAGT